GGGGCTGCTTGCAGCCTCCTGGGCTTTGTCCCAGGCAGCTTCTGCTTCCTGCTGCCCACAGGGGCCTAAAGTGAGTCATCCTTGAGATGGGAGTCACTGATAGGCCACAGAACATCATCTGGTCACTGGCAGTCAGGGCGGGTTGCCCCGTCTGTGTTCACGGTGACAAAGGGCAACCTGAGAGGCACAGACTAAGTCCCTAGGCAGCTGTAGGTAGCTCCAGCCCCTGTCATGAGGGTCGTCCTCACCACAGCCACGTGCCTTAGTAACTGTTCCCAGGAAGCATCCTACTGCTTGCTGCACTGCTGCTTTTCCTACTTCTGCCCTCCCCTGCTGTCCCCTCCTGCTGTCACAGCTGACAACTCCCCAGTCTTCCCGGCAGCTGGGGGAGGGGCTGAGAGACTGTCCTCACACACTCCCACCTTGCTGGCCTGCAGCGGGTGAATAGTTGCAAAGCAGCCTGGCTCTGGGGCCCTGGTGTTGAAGGAGTGGGCTCAGTGTTCCAGGTGCTTCTGCTGAGATCTTTCCCTCAGCTATGTCTTGAGTGCCGACAAGGCTGAGCTGGCAGAGCTTGGCCAAACTGCTGCCATCTGCAGAAGGTGTGGCATTAAGTAATGCTTGTTTTTGAAGCATTGCGGCTGGGAAACTTAAAAGCTGACCCCATGCTGCACCTCTGCTTCTCCTCCAAGCCTTTCTGTTTGGGGTGGTAAAAGTTATAAAGAGCCTGGTGTATTTTCAGCACCTGACCGAACAGGGTAGCTCCAGAAGTGGGTGGCCTTGAAGGTTAGGGGACGGCCTTTCAGCCTCCTGCCTCTGCTCTCACATACGCACTTTACTACCCGCTCGTTCCTGGCCATTCATAGTCTTTCTTTCTCTCAGGGTAAGGGCAGTGCCTGCTGTACTTGTCGGCCACTCCCACCTCTCTCCCCTTCCCCACCCAGGAGCCCCCCGCATGCTGTGCCCAAAGCCCAGGCCAGCATGGTTAGATGTGGAACAGGTTGTTGAAGGTGCCAGAACTAGAACACAGAAGCCTCTGAGGGAAATGAAATGAACCAGGGAGCTGTCCTTGGCCTCAGAAGAGGCCATTTCCAGAGAGTGCCTGCCAGCAGTCACTGGCTCTGGGCCCGTCTGGAGGGTGGGTCCTTAAAGATCCAGCTGCCTCACCGTGATGCTTGGGCCCTGGGGCTCTGCACCACCTCCACGGGACGGGGCGATGTGTGTGTGTGTCCTTGTCTCCCCCAACAAAGAAGGCAGGGGCAGATGGTGGGGGGTCCCAGGTCTCACTGCTGAGCCTGCAGCTGTTATTTCCCCTCTTCCAAAACCTGAATTCTAGCCTACGATATATATATTTTTAAAGATCTTACTCTTTTTTACATCATTATTCTGAATTTTTTCCCTTCTAAGAGATTGCACTTTTTGTTTGAGTTTACTCAGCCACATAAGTTACCGACAGTTCTTGAAAAATTGAAAAGCCGCCTCACCCACCATTGACACTGTCCTGGGGATCACAAGCCCAGACCTGTGTACATGGTAGGAAAGAAAGAGGTCGGGGTAAATGGGAGTCTCCCCTCCCCGCCTCCCTCTTTTCACTGACTTTGATGAGGCCCACCTCCCAGAGGCCCTGGGCCTGTGGGTGCAGGAGCAGGCCTCTCATTGCTACTGACATCCATGACGGCTGTTAGTCCCCCCTCCCCCAAGCAGTTTCTTAGCCCTCAGCCATGTGCTGCTGTTTCTGGGGCTTCTGGGCTTTATCCCTTTTAAGGGATTAGGGACTTCACAGCTGCCTTGAGGTGGAGCCTGGCTGAGAGACGGGGGTGTCAGGTGGAGGTCGTTAGGAAGGAGACTGCCAGAGGAGCCTGCAGCAGGTGGGAAAACTCCATAGCCTGGCTTCCCTGGGGCTCGCCTCTAGGGGAGGCCAGCAGAGGGCTTGTTAGCACCAAAGGACTTTTAAAAAGGTATTTATTTGCACATGTGAGCTGACTCAATACAGGTTTTATATCCTGGCAACTTGCAGTCACATTCCAGTGACTTACAAGGGCCAGTATATGGTGAAAATCACTTAAAATTTCCATCCCTTTCAATGCCTTAGTTTAGCAGGTAGGCTCTATCTCTTACATTTTCCGAATTTTGTGTGCTTTGTTCCCATTTCACTCAGTGCGAACTGTGAAATGTGCTGAGTCCTGGCCACTTTGTGAGTCTCTCAGTTGTTTAAGGCATTTCGGTGTCGTTCTCCTAACACTCCATTTGCAAACAGAACTGGAACTAACGTTATCTTCCCCATTCATCTTGCCCCCCCGCCTTAAAGTTCCGTGGAGAAGCTGGATGGCAGATAGACAACGGGATACTCTTCCCGCCTCGTCAGTGGTGACCCGGGGATCCATAGCACTCAGCCTTTCCCCTCCCAGTCTCAGCTGAGCTCTCAGACCAGTGCTTTCCATGCAACAATGTCACTTTCACTCCCAGGTAACACCCTTACATCAACAGTAGAATATGCTGCAAACATTTCTACATCCTTGCCTCTCCCTCCCTGCCCGCTGCTCCCCCCGCCTGTTTAAAGAGAATAAAGGGCCAGAAGGGAAGTGAGATGCAGGCTTTCCTGATGAACTCCAGGTGTGCTTGCTGGGGACAGTGAGGCTGGAAGCTTCTCTCATGGGGCCTGCTGGGGCTCCTGGCTCCCAGCATTTGGACAGCCATTGCTGGTGCCCAGCGAGGGGCTCAGGAAGAACTTTGCTTGGCAGATGTGTGGACTGAGGGGGAAAGGCAGCAGGCTCAGCTTTGCTGGGAAACAACTCTTAATCTCCAGTTGAAAACCTAGTAGAATTTTGAACGGAAACCCCAGGGTGGAGCCATGCGCCAGGCAGCAGAGGTCTTTGGAGGAGACACAGGGGCAAAGCACTTGGGTCACCAAGCAAGGAGAGAAGGAGGCAAACTGCGTGGCCGCCCACCACACCCTGCCCTGGCTTCTTATCGCACCACTATGGGATTTTTGCAGAATGGTACTCATATATAATGATTCAAAATGACACATCATCGACTCTGAGCAGGATGTCACTCAATCAGTTTGGGTTTGCTTTATTTTATTTTATATATATATATTTTTTGGTATCCTGTACATTGCAGTGGGTGTGAAGATAGTATTTTAATATTTGTACAAAGTTTAATTTAATTTTAATTGTTCTATGTATATAACTGCATTTCTAAATAATAAAAAAAAAAGTTCTTATGAGGTAGTTGTGAGAGATGTGATCCTTCCATAAAGATTTAGTAGAAACCCTAGATTGAAGAGAGAAGATGTGGGTAGCAGTTCATGAAGGGAAGAAGCAGTGGCACTGGGGAGAGGGGTGCCCGGCAAGAGATGGAGGAGATGGGATGGGGGGACAGTCTATGCTACAATGACGAGGGACCACAAAATCCGTGCTCACGCTGGGATTCATCGGTGAGCAAGCGCATCTGTTTGGGGGCCTGCATTGGTTTCCAGTGTGCTGGGGAGGCAGACGGCAGTGCAGTGCTGGTTATGATTCGGGAAGTAGAAGCGGGGGGCACATTCAGAAAGCTCTTTTCGGATAAAATGGCATTTAAGCTGAGATGTGAAGGGCCAGGAAAGTGAGGCTAAGGGGCAGGACACCACGCATGTGAGTGCAAAGGCAGAAGAAAGCACATTCAGTCTGAGAAACAAAGGAGTCTAGTGCTGCTGCATGGCAGGGCTGAGGGGAAAGTGACTCAGGATGAGTGGAGGGAGGGAGGGAGGCAGGGGCTAGGTTGTAGAGGCCCTAGGGAGCCAAGTTGGGAAGTTTCACTTCATCCTAAGAGCAACAGGAAGTGCCTTAGCAGTTTTAAGCAACAATGTTTAGTAAGCTCTGCATTTGGGGCGGGGTGGGGAGTGGGGCGTGGGCAGAGGTGGAAAGCTTTCTTCATCTCTTAGGAAGAGAATTTAGAGTGATAAGGCATACCGTACCTGGAGACCTTGTAGAAAGTTGTTGGTCTTGTGGGGAAGAGGACAGCTTGAGCAGCTAGCTGAGCAGCAGCACCACCCTGAGACAGAGAAGTGGAAGAACAGTTTGGGAGAGGGGAAATAATGGATATCTAAAGATGAAAAGGCAGAAGACATGGAGGTAAAGAGGTCATTGCCAGGTAGGAGAGGCTGACAGTACTGGGGCAGTTACAACAAATGGTAAGGGTGTGAGTAAAGTGACATATAGGGCATTTGGGGATAAAAAAAAAATCGGGCCACACTTAAACTTGCTCTGGTAACAGGATGCATCTCTCTAAGTGTTGGGTGGGAAAATGTTTTAGGGTCATCTGTGCCAGCCACCTAGTCTTAGCACCCACCATTCCTCGAGAGGATCCACACAAACGTCACTGTCATTAGTTGCAAGGAGAATGAAGAGGAAGAGCATTTTACCAACTTTTAAAAGTAACGGCGATAATAGTTGATACTTAAAAAGCACTTAAACGTACCAAGCTAGGTTCTAAGCACTTAGTGTGGAATCCACACAGCAACTCTACACAGCAGGTGCCGTTATTGTCTGTAGCACCACATATAATGAAACAGACCTAAAGAGGTGCATTAACTTGCTCAAGGTGGAGCTAGCATTTAACTCAAACCCAGGTAGTTCTGCTAAAATGACCCCCTCCCCTGTCCATTTCCTACCCCGTCAGACACCGCCTGCCCCTCAAGTCCCTCACCACCTTCCTACTATCTTTCAGAGTCTCTAACCAAGGAGCTTCAGGTGGAAGAAAACTTAATTTCAGGGCAGGGAAATGGTACACTGTTCACTAGGACAATAAACTACTCTCATTTCAAAGAATGGGAGGTGTATGTGTATGTGGGTGAGGGGGCATTTAAATTATGCAGGACATGATAAGAAATAAGTTCACAAAGCAGCAGGATCTACAAGAAAAAAAAAAGACTGCTTATTTCAGTGATAGGTAAGCTGTCTTTGT